GTGATTAAAATATCTAGGGAGAAGGCAAAATGCTAAGTAAAGAGAGCTGTACCAAAAGGACTAACTGCCGCTACACACTTCTTGGGTAATATCTGCAGAGAAAATATTTGTAAGGCAGTTCATTAGAAAAACCTGTTTGAGGGGCTGGAGAGATGGCTCAGCAATTAAGAGCACTAACTGCTCTTTCAGAGGACCTAGGTTCAATTCCCAGCACCCACATGGCAGCTCACAGCAGTCTGTAACTCCAAGACCAGACAAGCACGCAGGCAAAACGCCAGTGCACGTTAAAATAAAGTAAATAATTTAAAAAAATCTGTCTGAGGCTTAAGGTAGACATAATTCAACAGGAGAGCACCTGGCTAGCATACATGAGACTGGGGTTTAATGTGCAGCAAAAACACACACGCAGCCACAATCCTCACATGGAGTTAGCTCCTTATTCACATACTTTTTCTAAACTATTTAGACAGTTTGCTCTACTTTAAAAGATGTGCATACCTGGCACACTATATGCTCAGCATGTTAGCACCCACAAAAATGGTGTGTTTAAAATGGCAACAATTAATAGCTATGTATCAGGGAGGGGATTGATAACTGTATCCAAGATACAGAGTAAGGTTATTATTGAAGTTGAGGACTGAACACAAGTTTCCTGGCAGCAAGAGGGAGAATATTTTACAAAATAAAGAGGAACAACGTGTTTTTTTTTGTTTTTGTTTTTGTTTTTACCAGAAGTACCATATAGAGTAGCTAACTTGACATATAATAAATAATTAACAAGTAACTCTGAGATAAATAACTGTATCTTTTGATAAATTCTTTTGACAAGATGGCCAATGTCTTCATTGACGGGTATCTATTTCATTTTAAAGTTTTCTAAAAAACACATGTTCTGTGCATTGTGTCGTGGTGCACACCTGCAGTGCCAGCACTCGGGGAGCTGAGGCAGAAGGATTGTGAGTTCCAGAGAAACCTAAGATACATAGAGAGTTCAAGGCCAGCCTGGATGACTTTAACAAGATGTATGTTGCTATAAAAACGTTTCTATAGAAAAACAATATAGTCCACATGTACATTGACAATGACTGACTTGACAGGCATAAAATTTAGAATATCTGGAAAAGTAGACAGTGATTATTCTCCCTAGAGATAGATGTACACATGTACAAATATCACTTATTTTCATCTGGACTTTTGAAAGAACTCAAACAAGCCAGGGATTTAACATTGAGGGACTGGAGAGATGGCTTAGCAGTTAAGAGGTCTTGTTGCTTACAACCATCCAACCGCCCATGACTCCAGTTCCAGGGGATTCTCTTTTGATCTCCATGGGTACCAGTCTTAAACATGGTGTGCATACATACATAAGTGCAGGCAAAACACTCATACACACAAAATTAAATAAATCTTCAAAAAGTCATATTGAATGAGCATCATGGCAAGAAGCATAGGCAAATGGCAAATCCAACATCCTCTTTGAAAAGTAGGGTACCCTAGCTTGTGTCCTTGCAGGCCATCCCATTAGTTCTTGGGCAAGGCCAACATTCTTTCCAGAATATAGCTATGGGTTCTCCTAGGATCAACGTAACTCTTCAGCAGAAATCCCAGTTTTTGCTCCACTGAAAAGAACTTCATACAAAGTATGATCTAAGCCAAAAACAAAGAATAAAGTGTTCATCACAGACTTAAAGTCAACCAACAAATAGCAAATTCACCTCTTGTTCCCTTCTACTTCTCACAGTCAGTAAATCATAGATCACTTAACTGCCCAGAGCTTGAAACAATGCTCGGTGGACCTGCCTGGATGCAGGCAGATTATCAGTCCAATTCTTTGAACTACTATCTTGGTTCTCAGTGCCTAGGGGATCCTAGACTTTTCTCTGTATACTTTTAAAGAGCTTCTGGTTTGATAAGACTGTTTACGACAGAGAGCCTAAAGCTCCCTAAGAGACCAGCTTATTTTTACTATCAGCCCCACTCCCTCACACCTCCAGGGATTTATCTGTTAAAGTTTGTCAAGGCTGGCTCATTCCCATTCCCATAGTGGTTCCCAAGGAGATCTCATCGGCTGACAAGTTCCACTATTATTTAATAACCACTAGTACCTAAATATATAAACAGAGAACTTCTTTAAACAGTTAACATCAAAGTTCATTAGTAATTTTTACCTTTAATATTATTTTCACGTACAATGATTTACAATTTTTAGCAAGAGAATGTCTTTCTCATTATGCCTATATGGAAAATGTTTTTCCTATTATCCTGGATCCATGCTGCATGTCTAATTAAAGAGTATGTTGGGATTGGAAGAGCAAAACAAAATCTTGCCAGATACATAGGCCATGTGTCAAAGTTAAGAGTAAAATGCATCCATACTTTACAATATCAAAGGGAAGGCACTTGTCTGACGAAAGCTTGCCTGTAATATGAAATGCACACACTCCAAAGCATGTTTAAATCAATAGTGATTTTTTTCAAGAATAAACTATTAGAATGGTTAATCTTATTGACTAGTAAGGAAAAAAAGGTTTCATAATAAAATTTGTAGGTTATTTTTAACTAAAGGAATATATATACAGGGATATTCATGATTTCAAATTACTAAAAGGATTATCAGATCTAGTAATAAGTATGTTTAAAATGTTCCCCCAGGGGGAAAAAAAACATAACATGCCATTAAGATGATAATTTTAAAAAGCAGATAATTTAAAAAGACTACTATTTCTCTTTTGTATCCACTTCTTCACAAGCCAAACATAAGTGTAGAGTGTCAAGTCTGAGTCACGTGCCTCTGTAGCTTGGTGATCACTTAGTCAGCTAATTTAAATTAAATTCCTCATACATTTGGAGCATAACCCTGGCTACTTGGTAGATGGAAGCAGGAGGATCATTTGAGACAGGGAGTTCAAGGCCAACCTCTGTGCCAAAGTTGAAACCTTGTCTTAGAAAGAAAAACAAAACAAAACAAACAAAATACAATGTATTCTACCTTATAATCTTATGAGAAGAGGGAACCTGCCATTAAAATCCCCAAAGACACTCTATATCTTCAGTGTTATATACATTTCAATATTTCAGAATTTTCTAAGTATTTTCTCATTTAAAAAGTATTCATTTGCCTGTGTACATATTTTCCAAGCAATAAATCCTTGTACATAGCAAGCATCCATTCACAGAGTACATTGAGTAGGACTGATAAAAAATAAAGCAACTGTTTTTAAAATGTAAAATGCCCTAATAAATGTAATGTTTGTACACAGAATAAAGAAAATAAATCTACATGACACAATTACAGAACAAAATGAGTCCTACAATGACAACATTTTTGAAATAGATACTAGTTCAGAGGTTGCCCAGGGGTTAGTGACATCAGGGAGTGATCATGATTGTAAAAGGACAATACAAGAGCTGGCATGATGCCCCTGTGGGTGAAAGTACTTAGTGATAAGCCTGACAACCTGGCTCAATACCCAGGACCCATGAGAGGGAAGGAGAGAGCTGACTTCCTAAACCATCCTCTGACTTCTACCAATGCACCATGGCATGTGCAAACACACGAAGTCCTCTAGAATTTAAAAGGAAAACACAAAAGATCTTTGCAATAATCAAAGTATCTTGACTATGAGAGAGGTTCTTGAGACAAAAGTTTATAGAATGAAACAAGAGAAACAAAACTAGAAAGATGTGAATTAGGATCAAGAAATATCTGCGTCAGCATCCTCACTGTAACCGTGACCTAAACTTTTGAAAGATGTCTCAGGAGGAAGCTAAATAAAAAGAACTGGATTATTCCCTGCAACTACACATACACCTATAGTTATCTCTCAGATATTTAAAGACTTTTAAAAAATACTTTCTTCATTGCAAATGGCTCCCTATCACAACCACAAACAGCTCACAAACCCAGTGAGGAAAGAAAGTATCTGATAAGTAGAAGGGTGTTTCCACAAAGAAACCCAGAATAAACACTGTCTAAATACTGTGGCCATGACAATCTGTTCTTCATTTATTTTTAATGATGTGTTTCTTTAAACTAGTCTTGAAGATCGCATCCTATAAACTAAGGATTTCTTAAGACCTAATAAGTCGTATCTAGCTTACAGTTCAGTCAATGACTCTTGTGGAAAGCCGTCTTCTGAGCAAGGCTGGTGTGCCCTCTTGAACTCTCAGCAGCTGTGGTTACCAGTAGGCACTCTCCCAACACACACACACACACACTCTCTCTCTCTCTCTCCTCTCTCTAATCTCTCTCTCTCTCCTCTCTCTCTCTCTCTCTCTCTCTCTCTCTCTCTCTCTCTCTCTCTCTCTCTCTCTCTCTCTCTCTCTCTCTCTCTCTCTCTCTCTCTCTCCCCCTCTCTCTCCCCCTCTCTCTCTCCTCTCTCTCTCCAGAGGTAGATAAAATAAGGACTGATATCGCCAAAAGTGAACTCCCCTCTCTCCCATCCTCCCTTTCAGACTAAGGGGTGAAAAGGGGATGCCTGGTGGAATTCACAAAGCCAGGTCCTTACCTACTTCGAATCTCTCGGAAAAGATCCAAGCATACTACCACTCCTCTTCCATTAATGTCAAGAGGAGAACTGCGAAAATAGCCTGAAATTTCTCCGCTTCTAGGAAGCGAACGTGATCAAAGAGTGACAAGAAAGGGCATCGGGATAAATGGGTCTGGTTAGGGTAGATTCCCATCCAGGAAAATGACTTCCAGGCAGTTCATATGGCTGGCCGATTGCAACGAAGATGGAAACGGTGCCAGGCCTCCTCCTTCTTCTCTCGCTTCACCCACAAGTTCCCGCGGAGAGGAGAGGGTCCGGAGGAACTGGGAAGCACTTAAGCCCATTCCCAAAGCTCCCAAAAGTTAAGCTGGTAAGGGGGCGGGGAGGCTGACAGCTGGGGCGAGAAGGGGGACCGGGGACCTGGTGAGGTCCGCGCTGGGTGGTAGGAGGACCCAGGATGGATGCGGGATGAGGTGTGGGGCCAAGACGCCATGCGTGGCGCAGGCTCACCCGCATTCTGCAGTGTCTCGATGTTCTGAGGTCTGGTCGCCTGCTCCGCCACCATCTGTACGAATCGGGTCCGGGCATTCTGGTACAACTCGAACACTGGGGAGAGAGGCAAGGTGGGGCAGCCGGCCCGCGGCGCCATCCCGTCGGGGCGCCCGCCCCCAGCTCCTTACCTTGCAGCACCTGCCGCTGGCTCATGGCTTCGCGCGTGGAGTCCGCTCTCCGGGACCCCTCGGCCTCCGGCGGGACTGAACTGTGTACCCAGGCTCCGGGGCAACCGACCGGAACCGGAACGCAGCCGTCTCGTGGCAACGGTAGGTCCCGGGCGTGACGTCACAACCATGCTAGAAGGAGCGGCCGAGGGAACGGGGACTCACGTCGCGCCCCGTCTGGTGTCACTTCCCTGCTGACCCGGTAACGGGGCGCAGGCGTCCACCTGGAGAACTCGCTCGGCACCCACACACCCAGAGCGGCAGGGTCCCCCGACGGCCGCGGGCTGGGCGCTGGGGAAAGGGCGCTGGGGGACCCGAAGTCAGTTCCGATAGATACGAGTCATCATCAGATCAATACAACTCTGGCAGCACAACCTCAGGTTACTCTGTGTTAATGGCTCTCTGACCTACCTGACATTTCTGACTTCCGAATTCCTGGAGGGTCACAGCAACTGTGTTCACACACTAAATTACAATATATTAACAGCAATTAAGGACACTTAGAGAGTCCATGTGAAAGCAGAGAAGGAAAAGGATATGATAAATATCCAGTCTTGCAGGTTTTCCTAATTACTACCAAGTTTGCTGTCTCCTTATTTCAATATGATTTTTTTTAAAAAGAATTTCTTTTAAATTCGGGCGTCATTTTGTTGCTGAGTGACATTTCCAAAAGAAGAGCTTTTACCTGGAAAGACTATCTTACATAAGTTGGGCTCCTCAGCGTTTCTTTTTTACCAGATTTAAGCACTGTAGCTCACCATCAGTTCTAGCTACTCTTTGAAAATTCTGCACCAAATGTTTCAGTGACAAGTGTCAACTTTAGATATTTCTCTCTCTGAAACTACCATTTCACCAGGTGTCAAGTGGGCAGCTAGCCACAGCTGCTGCCTAATAGTGGCAGACCGGAAATCCTTGATGTCTCTCTTCCTCCCCAGGAGGAAGCACACACCCATCACTAGCTTTCACATTTGGAATCTTCTGCAGTCACTTTAAAAATCTTGTCTGAAGGAGTCTTGGTAGTCTGTGGAATCCCCAGAAAGTTGGGAAAAGGACTACTTATCCAAGAAAGGGAGATATGTGTGGAGTTCTCTGCTTCACACATCAGGGCAGGTACAAGCCTTTTGCTTCTTGCAGCTCAGAAGCCAGCCACACAATTCTCTGACTTAACTGAAATATAAGTTTCACAGTGGTCCTTTACATTCTTCCCAACAGGGCCTTTAAAGTAGAAGTGTCTGTTCCCATGTAGAGATGTAGAGGAAAACCCTGAGTGAATAATTCAAACTGCTAATGAAGTGTCCTAATTTTATTTTTTCAGTTCCCTGTTGCATTTTGAGGAACAAAAATCTCTTAAATCTTAAGGGTCCCATTGCTTAGTTTCAGTCTTTAAACAAGTCAAACTCTTAAATTGCTACATCTTCCATTTTTGGTAGGTGCTTTACTATGTATTTCCTACTTTAAAATTGTTAAGAGCTCAATAATCTGCTTATGGGATGCTACACAGTTTGAAAAGTTAAGTAGACAGAGTATTTTAAACTAGAAAGTCTGTGTATGTCATGAACAATGCCCATGAATAGAATTTATTGCCCTAATGAAACACATTATAGGATGCCTATTTCATATCTGAAGTTATATGTATTAAAAAAGAAGTTATATCTTTTTTCTAGTATTTTTTCCAAGTCATTAAAGTTTAATGAAGAAATGTAACCTAATGATCATATTATACCCATAAGTGGAATTGTTGGTAATTTAAATATAAAATATAGTGAAGAGATAACTGTAATTAAAAAGAAAGCTACTCTATATTTTCTGACCCATTTTCAATTTATTAACTTTAAAACAAAATGCTTCTCTAATTACATAGTTAAATGAATGTTCCAAGATCACATATAGGTCTCTAGACTATTGGTTAAGTGAAGAACTACTCAAAATGTTATCAAACTAAGATTATTGTTCTTAAAGTACCAGCTGCATGTACAGGTATATCATGTACTTGCCAAATAAAACTATGCATTTGACTGGAATGAAATATTAACTGAAAAACTGTTTCAATAAAGTGTGAAAGTCTTTGCCTCCTTTTGGAAAAGGCTAATTATACAATTTCAAAATCATTATCCACTTATTTATGAAAATGAGCCTGAAAACCCAAAAGTATAAAACCAGTTTTTGAATCTTGTTCCGTTTCTCTTTACAAATCTCCTCTGAGAATCCAGAAAAATCCCAATACTGTGGGGCTGTATGCTACTCACGCCTAAAAGCTTTGCTAATTTCAGCACGCGTCTGCTTTCCAGTTCCTAGCTGAATTTTAAAGGTAATGTTCTCTATATTCTAACCAGAGCCTGACGTCCACATTTTTAGAAACCTGTTGAGGTCTCTGAAGTGTACAGCTGTTCCTCTACTGAGCCTAGCACACAACAGCATCACTGTGTGTCCGACACTCTGCTCTTGAGAGAATGTGCCTGTCTTCCAGAGTATCAAGTCTAGTAAGAGAAATTAATTCCTTCTTCATAAGATACAATCTCTATTAATTCAGCATGTGTACGCCTAACACTAATTTCAGGTCTAAAATCACTCCAAATACTGTGTCTTAAGAGCAAAGACAGAGAGAGTTTGGGTAAAGTAGGGAATGGTAAACTATCTGAAACATGGAAATAAGGAAAAACTTCTTATTGTTAACAGACCATTGTCTGTTTTATAGAGACATGAAATCTCTTTAATTCAAACATGTTAGCATTTTTCAAAGGCATTCAATTGGTAATTAAATGGCATTTGTCAACTTGTGAGACATCAATAATCCTTTTTGCCAACATCAAGTGTAAAAATCACTGAAGTAGCTTCACATTTCCATGCTTCAATTAAAGATAGAAGTACTGTGTGCGCCAGAGCCAAATTGGTGGACTCAAATGTTATCTATAATGAAGAAAGCAAACATAGACTATCTGAATTACGGTACGACCCTGATTGAAGGATAAGCATCAGGATCTTGTGTTTAGGTCTGAACTGAGCAGTCAATTGTGTCAGCAAATTTGCCAGCAGAGCAAAAAAGAGATGTGGACACTTCCCTATGAATCGGAAGACTGACATTTCTATGCAAGTGTTGTGGTTGTGTCTTATTGTGTCAAATTTGCCTTTGTTTCTCAAATCTTTTACAGTCGGCCTCATAAGTCTTAAGGGTCTGGTGCTTTTCAGGCCAGTACCACGTCAAGGCGACAGTGACTAACTAGTCCGACCGACCTAGATACAGCTAGACATGGCTTCCCTGAAGTGTCTCAGTGGATGCAGAGCTTCAAGGCATCTGGTCCACTCCCAAAGAAAGCTATGATCAGGGTGATGATTTCATTTCCCCCCACCACACCCCCAAAACACCAAGGAGCACAGTGATGATTACTTAAAAAAAAAAAACTACGTTTTAAAAGTAGAAGTCAAACAGTGTAATATGTCTCATGCTGTAACATGCAGAGCAAAATCAAATTATTGCTGCGTCGTGTACGCATGTATGCATCTTCTTACACAAGCTTTCTTAATTAAAAGTTGCTCCAAAGCCAGCATGAATACAAAGAAAAGTGAGCACTCTGCGTTTGAGATTATCCACCGCCATCTCAAGAAACCCTGTATCTCACAAATTTTATTGTTGTTTAATTTTTACTTTTCTTAGAAATCATGTGGGGTTTTGCTCTCCCGTGCTTAAAAATTCCTATTATTATTACTGTACAAAACACAAGAGACAATGCTGGAAGGTGCTTCGCTGGAGACGACCCCGGCATCAAGGACCGAGCACACGCATCGCTCAAATGCAGGTCCCCAAGGTACAGACCCGAGGGCGGGGTGGCACCGGTGGATTACCCTATGCCACCGGGTCCCCAGAGCGAGGGGCCTGCCCGCGACAGGCCACTGCGTGCGACGCTGGGTCGAGGGCAAGGCCCCGGCCTCCTTTTACTTTATCACTCGCCCCTAGTTCTCCAGCTCCCAGGAGCATCCTCAGGACCTCAGGCCCAGGAGAGAGCAGCGGGGTGGGGACCAGGGAGACAAGCCTGAGGCCACCGGGACGCGCGGGCAGCAGGGCGGTGAGCGCGCGGGGGCCCCGGGAGGGGAGGGCGCGCGCCAGCCGAGTGCGGAAGCGCCTGGCCGCGCAGCCGGCCTCGCCCTGCGGCCTCCGCTCCCGGCTCCCCCACTCTGCCCTCCGGCCGCGCTCAGGCCTCGGAGCCGGAGGGGCTGAGCTAAGCCAGGCCTCGCTGGCCTTCGGCTGGGCTTCCGCGGCGCGGCCTCCCACGCAGGCCGCGAAGGGTCTCGGCAGGAGTCACCACTCCAACTCCCCGCGGCGCGCCTGCGGAGAGCGCGGCCACGACGCGGGCCAGGCCTCCGCCGACCCGGCCCGGAACCGAGCGGCCAGGCCGCAGCCAAGAAACGGCCCCGCGGCGGCTAGGCTGGGCTGGCCCGGCCCGTCTCCTCCCCGGACGCTCCCGAGCTGCGGGGAAAGTGGGGAAGGGCTCCGGAACCAGGGCCAGGGCTGTGTGAGAACCTTGCACGGTCCCCGGCAGCTAGCTCCTGCAGACCCCAGGCGCACAGCGGGACCCAGAGGCGGGGACAGGACACACTAGCTTATTTAAGGGGAAGGCGGAGGAGAGGGGTGGCTGAGCAGCTGCACCTCACTGCGCATGTGCGAGGTTCCCCAAAAAAAAAAAAAAAAAAAAAAATTTTTAACTTTTGCGGTTCTGAATAGTCTCAAGCCAAAATGTCTTGGACCGAGATTATTTCAGAAACTAGTTGGCCGTGTGCGCTGACTCCTGAAAGTCACTGCAAAAGAACAGAAAAGGTTTGCGAGGTTTCTGAAACCTTTGAAGTAAAAAATAGCGTCACTTGTTTATCAACGCTGCAGGTCCGTTCCTCTAAGAGAAATGGTCAGAGAGGTCAGTGATCCCCGCTGAAATGTAGAGTGAATTCAAGGACTCCATAGCACTACATATCATTCCTACAGAGGACATGCTCGCGCTATTATTAATTGTTGTTTTGGAAGTATTGTGAATATTCTAAATTGAATTATTTAAATTTACTTCTCGCTATTAACCCATATTTCATTTTGTACCGATGAGCAACGTTCTTATACAAATAA